TTATACACGGCATGCAAAATGCTGTGAAAAGGGCATGCAGACTTTATTATGAAAGCTGCAGTATATACTGCTAATATTTAACATGAAATGTTTCTGTATATGAATCTGGTATAATAGCAATCATCTGAATTAACATAGATAAATGAATAATAAATTCTACCTACACTGACATCCTTCCCATACAGCTGTACAACTTCTACTCAGGGGTTAAACACTTGTTAGGCAGCAGACATGCTTCTAATTTTTTTTTTTTTTAACTAGCAGCCCACATTTAAAACATCGGGAGATTTTTACATTAAAATCCGGATTTCTAGTTTCTCTTGAAAGTCAGATCTGATAACCCTGGGCCCACATTTCGTCCTGGGCCATAATTAATTGAAGCTGAGTAGAGGCCTCACACTTCAGCCTGTTTCGGTCTCCACTCCTTTCAGTTACAGGCTTTGCCCTGTGAGCATCTACTCTGCCTCCCTTGAGTATTTCAGGCCTTGGCTTCCTTTTCCCTTCAATGCGGCCAACAGTCTCCTGTTTTCTGGCCTCCACCTCTCCCCACTCCAAATCATCCATAGGCTTTGTATAAAATAGAGTCCAAACTTCTTGAATTTCAAGATTCTTTATGATCTAGCTCAACTTTATCCTTCCCAGCTTTCTTCTAAATCGTGACCTTTCACCCTTCCAAACTTCAGCCCATTGAAACAGTCACTGTGCCTTAAATAGTTTTCCACCTCTCTATCTTCAGTTAATGCTGTTTTCTCTGCCTAGAAAGACTGCTTCCCCTTCCTCCATCTCCAGAGGTGCAAATCCCAACCCTCTTTCAAGCCCTGCCCACCAAATGCCAGTTCCTCCAGGAAATCTGTCTCAAGCTATACCCCAGGTTCTGCAGCGCCTGCCCTCCAAGTTGACCACACTTTCTCTGCACTTCTCTCCTAGCGCTATTTTTTATCTTGTACTAGTTCTTTATGTACACATTTTCTCTCCTCTGCTAAACTGTAAATTCCATGAGGACAGTATCTGTGTCCAATTCCATTTTGAACACCCACTGCGTCTAAAACAGTGACTTCTTCCACTAGACTGAATGAACTTATTCTCAGGCCCAAGGCCAGAAAAAACATAAGCCTAAATCTAAAGGAAGTCAGGCTGGCAGTGAGAAGGAGCCTAACTTTAAAAAAAAAATTGAATATCTAATTTCTTAATTGCTGAAACAGCTTTACCAAGGTAAATTGCTTTAATTTTAGTGACAAAAAAATGAATTGCTAAAAAAAGAAATTAAAAATTACTTTAGTGTTCCCTAACAATACAAACCATGAAATGGCTAAATGCTGTTTTACTCAAGACTGGGGTGGCAAGCATCTTGCTCAGAAATGGGTTTTTAAAATTGGGTGTGTGGAGCTGGATATTTAGAAAACATCAAAATGTAAACATTATCATGAGAATAATTATATCATCAGTATAAGGGTAACGATAAAATTATGAGTAATTATTGCTAAGAAATAAGTCCAAAGAGGACAAAAAGGAAAAGCAGTGTGGTTTATAAATTTCAGGCTTCCTTTAAGCTATAAAAGGAAAACCTTTACATAAGTTTTAAAAAAATTCACATTGGATGTGCAAGTTTTCCACTGCTCGAGTATTTTAAGTACAAGTCCACGTCATAACCTTCGCACACATATATATTTCATTTTAAATGATTTAGAAATTAGCTATAGGTCTGTTCTTTTCTCCCTTTCAAAAAAACTAAACCAAACCAAACCAAACCAAAAATCTGGATAAACGAGCAAAACGTTACCAAGAAGGGAAAAGAAACTAGTTGGGTTTTCCCCCTTAGTCGCCCACCAGCTTTCAAATGGTCACTCGCTAAGGACAAAGAGGTACCGAACAGGTAGGTTGTCTGTGCCCAGTGGGCTCTGCGCTCTAAAATTAGCAAAAGCAATTACTCTCCCTCTTCCAGCGCAAAGTCGCCACGCCAATTCACAAGCACTCACCCACGTAAGAACAGGAAGGGGTGGGGGGAAGAATTAAAACCAGGACATGCGTTTTATCTGGCACAATGAGGGACAGGAACTGCGCTGCCCTGGTCCCAGGCTGGCATCAGCGCTGACCCGCAGCCTCCTGGGAGTCCCAGAAATAGTGTCCCCCGCCCCTCGGGCTCGGGAGAGGGGACAGGGGAGCCCACACCCGACCATGCTCCTCGCGGGGGCTCCTGTGAGCTCCCAAACGATTCATCCCGCAGGGGAGCGGGCTGGATCCCGACAAAGGCCCACCAGGGGCCCGACCCCCGATTTGGGGGACTTAACCGCTATGACCCCTCCACTTGCGAAGTGCTGCACCAGGACAGAGAGAGGGCGGGACTTCGCTCCTATTTCGGGGCTCGGGGGAGTTTCCGACCGCGAGTTGGCGAGGTTACCTCAAATTCTCCTCACGAAACCACTTCCCCACCCCCTAAGAGGCACCCGAGCTCCAGTGGGCTCCTAGAGACGAGCTCCTGGCAACGGTTGCTAGGCCGTGGCGTTGCGTCACTTCCGGCGGGGCCAGGCGCGTTTCCGTGCGGTCCCCGGGCGTGAGCTCTGGGGGCGGGGCCTCGGGCGAGGAAGGGCGGGCCGGCGCCGGGTCCACGTGCGGAGAGGGTTCGCAGTTCTGAGCCACTGCCGAGAGCCAAGCGCTTCTGGTCTGTTACCCCGACTTAAACGTGGGGCAATAACCTTCCTGCATGTTCTGCGATTCGCAGCTTACAAAGTACGCTCTGCGTGATTAACCTATGCTAAATGCGCGTGCTGTTTCATTCATTCATTCATTCATTTACCAAACATGGATGCTGATTTCTTTGTTTGAGACAGGGCCCGGGTGGAGAGGATTGGGCTGAGGAAGCATTTGGCCTGGGCTTCAATTTTAGGTTTTTTACATAAGTATTTCCAAATTAGGTTATATTAATACGTAGGAGCCATTGTGGAGAGCATCTGGCAGAATTAAGAGAAGAAACATTCGTCACAGAGATTTCAGCTTCTGCCCCGCATTATTGGGCCACATTGCCTGTACTGGGAATTAATTATTTTTAAATCCTGTAATTTTTTAATATGCTGAGAGCCTGAAAAGAAAAAGAAAAGAGAAAAAGTAAATGTGCTAAGGCTCCTTTTGGCTTCTGGGAGGCTCTGTTTAGGCACATACAGAAATAAATTAAGCCCTCCTTATGGTCTATTCATAGAATTCACATCCTATGTGGTAGGCAGGGAGTTCTTTGTGCCCAGATCACAAGGCTTAGATGAGGCTTAGAAGTCTACTGGAAATGCACTGGCTGGTTTGGAGACCTTAGTTGGTAAGTGCTATTTTGAACCCACCTCTATTAGACTGGAGACCACTGTACTGTGTGTTATCAGTTGGCACTGAAAAAAAGAGAAGAAAAAAATCAAAATACCTCATACCCTGAAAACTTAGTTTCCTGCTTAGATATCTTAGGCCATTCTTGAATCAACTGCTATGCCTCTTATGGCTGTAGTAATAGTCTCGGTGAGGGCGGCTCCCCAAGAGGAAGGGCTGGATTCTGTTGCTGGACGTAGAGATGGCTGGGCAGAAAAGAACTGCATATGCTCCACACAGGTGGTCAGGGAAGGCCGTTAAATCTTAAAATCTCTGCAAAAAAACCAGGAAAGGAAGAAATAGCCTGTACTTATTGCGGGGAGTATCTGTAGCACTGAGAACCTTCTCCCTGATTTCCTTCCAGCAAATTATCTTTCTTCAATGCAGACTTCCATCGTAGGCCAAAGGAGGTCTTGGAATAACAGAAGACCCTCTAGATCGCCACAAAAATCTGAGGATGCCATGAACATAATGTCTCCAGCCCCTTCTCATTTCAGAGCTTCCAAACAAAAACTTTCCTGTGCAGAGTACAGGGAAGCCAAGCCAATTTTCTGTTTTTGGTATTAAATTTAGACCTTTCATCCTGACCATGAGATATTTCTGGATTCTGCACGAGTATTCAGCGAATGCCAGGATTCAAGATGCTATCCCATCTGGGGCTACTCTGCAGGCTGCCCACTTTATCTCATTCTTCTAAAACCAGGAAAAATGACCCAGACACAGGAACAAATTCGGAAGTGGGTTATTCTGTTATCCATTAATTGTCATTTAATGCTTTTGGCCGTCTAGGTTACTTGGAAATGAAAGAAATTAAATTTGAACGGAAACCCAAATTGAGTTGTACAGATATCCTAAATTGTCTCTGTTCTGGCAATTTAATCTTGTGGGTATGTTTAGTAGCAGAATGTGCTTTCTTAAAAGGTAAAAATAAATAATATGTGAAACACTCAACTAAATGGATGAGATTTCAGAGGTCTGATTAAAAGCTCACCTGGGGCCGGGCGCGGTGGCTCACGCCTGTAATCCTAGCTCTCTGGGAGGCCGAGGCGGGCGGATCGTTTGAGCTCAGGAGTTCGAAACCAGCCTGAGCAAGAGCAAGACCCCGTCTCTACCAAAAATAGAAAGAAATTAATCGGACAGCTAAAAATATATAGAAAAAATTAGCCGGGCATGGTGGCGCATGCCTGTAGTCCCAGCTACTCGGGAGGCTGAGGCAGAAGGATGGCTTGAGCCCAGGAGTCTGAGGTTGCTGTGAGCTAAGCTGATGCCACGGCACTCTAGCCCAGGCAACACGGTGAGACTCTGTCTCAAAAAAAAAAAAAAGCTCACCTGGTACTACATTTTTGTCAAGTAGATTTTTTTTAATGGGTTCTGTATCTGCAAATGTGCTGTGGTTCACAAAGTCTGGAAATCACTGATGAGATTAATGGGCTATGTAGACTGGCCAAAATAATATGCAATTCATATTAACTCCTTGGACTGAAATATAGAATGCACTTAACCTTACTGGGCTCAAATAATAATCAGGTCATCACTTACTGAGTGCTTGCTATGTATGTGTCAGGAATTTTGCTAAATACTTCATGTATGTGTCATAATTTACTCAAATATTAATTTATGTGTGTACTCCTTCTGTTTCCCATCCTCTTGAAACAATTTGCATTGTCTTGACTTTTGCAGGTTGAAAATCAGAAGCTGCACTTCTCTTGGTACATCTATACCTCCCACAGAAGCTGTAGGCCTATACAGGCCTAAAGTCTTTGGGGCAGGTTGTACTGGTTGTCCTCAAGAGGGAAGTAGAGAGGGCAGAACCTTCACAAGTGAGAAGAGAAAAGAGAGATGTTGAGAAGAGTGGGAAAGGGTCACAGGTTGATAAGCCCAGAGCAGCTTCTGAGAAGAGAGAAATACCCTGAGGAGGCCGCACTGTGCTCCAGTGGCTTCCAGTCTGGCCGAAGCTTTCCTTGTCCCAGGCTTGACATGGAAGCCTCAATGCCATTGGATCTGAAAGGACCTGCAGCCTGGGAGGGTGGGTGACCAAGCAGTCACTAGGGTGGGCCGTTGACAGAAGACTGCAGGTGGTGCTCCAAAGCTTTGTCACTGCAAAAGAGCCCAGGGACTTGGCATCCCTCAGGATGTGGGGGGCGAGGGCTGGGGCATGCTCAATAATGAGATTACATTTCTTGCCAACCTAGCAGAATGGAGGCTCAGAGCTGGATTTCAGTTGATTATAAAATAATGTCTCCTGGATTCAGGAGGTAAAACTAAACTAAAATAAAAATAATAATGTTCTTCCAGCCGGGCATGGTGGTGCATGCCTGTAGTCCCAGCTACTCAGGAGGCTGAGGCAGGAGGATCGCTTGAGCCCAGGAGTTTGAGGTTGCTGTGAGCTGGCACCACGGCACTCTAGCCCGGGCAACAGAGCCAGACTCTGTCTCAAAAAAAAAAAAAAAAAAAAAAAGTTCTTCCTCTTACAAATATGAGTTGTGGAGTAAATTTGATAACCTCTGTATCAGTCAGCATTCTAGCAGGATAAAGAAGGCACATTTTGGGCAATTAAGGAGAACTTAAAGAACTAATTATATATTATTTATTTATTTATTTATTTATTTTAGAGACAGGGGCTTGCTCTGTTGCCCAGGCTGGAGTGCAGTGGAGTGATCATAGCTCACTGTAACCTCCAACTCCTGGGCTCAAGCGATTCTTCTGTCTCGACTTCCCATAGTGCCGGAATTACAGGCGTGAGCCACCATGCCTGGCCAATAAAGCTCTGTTTATAAAAGGTAGGGGCAGAGTTTAGGGAAACCAGTAATGATGGCAGCCACTGCTGCCCCTGGGCCTGAAGCAGGAAGAGAAGAGAACAAGCACCAAAAGCCCAACAGAGTAGCCATGTTGAGAGGGTCACCTAATTGGAGCCTTTAGGTGCAGCCAGTCCTGACCACCCTCTCTTCACACCCTCTAATCTCTTGTGCCTGCTCCCCATCAGCTACACCCAACAAGAAGCCAAAGGGGAAGGGAGCTCCCTTGAGGTCGTCCATGCAGATCTGTCTCCCTGGACAAGGAGCAGGGAAGAATAATGCTATTCTTCAGAAAAGATAGATTGATCCTTTATAGATTGAGTTATACAATCAAAGTGATGGGCAGTGAGGCCTTGGGAGGTCAATGGATCCATCCCCGCATCTTCCAAGCTGCCCTTGCTGTCTTGTAGCTGAAGTTCCAGGCATTATATGGAGTTAGGCCTAATTTCATTTCGGCACACTGCCTGTACCTACATCATCTCATTCAATCTTCACAAATCTTCAAAGACAGTACTACTTTTTCCCATTTTATGATTAAAATAACTGAGGCCTAGAGAGTTAATAGAGGGCCCAAGGTCACATAGCTAGCAGCTGGCTGAGCCAAGATTCAAACACAAGTCTACCTGATTCCAGAGCCATTTTCACCAACCCACTAAACTGGCTCAAAACTGGCCAAGCAGAGTCTGAAAGAAGGACCATAAATCAGGCTGCTGAAGTGGGAGGCAAAGGGATGTTCTGCACGGGAGGGCCAGTATTAACAGGGTATCTGGCTTTCTCTGCCTACAAGGGCTTTGCCAAGGAACCTCTTATCTTACCCAGGTAGGGCTAATGGTTCAAAAATCCAAGTGCTTACCCTGGAAGAGGGGAAAGATGGAGAGAAAACACTTGGGTGATGATGGGAAAAAAAGTGTATTTTCATTGCAGATGCCTTTTAAGTTCTTCTTTTCCCAGCTGAATGTTTGGTGTATTTATAGAATTCAGGGGGAGTATTTAAGGGTAACCGGCAGTGGAGCTGCATTTTGGGCCATCGGGAAGCTCAGAATCATGCAGGAAAAGGTTGGTGGGAGGGGACAAGAGCAGCAGGGCACAAACCGGCTTTGTCCTTCATGTTGCCAAGACTTCACCATCCTGGGCTGATGACGTCAACTCAAGGTCTATGATATTGCTAAAAATGGAATTATAGAATCAGAATGATTGGCAAATGGGTGACTGGATAAACCAATTGTGGTATAAACATACAGTAGAATATTATTCAGCCATAGAAAGAAATGAAGGACTGATACATGTTACAACATGGATGAACCTTGAA